ACGTTCTTCAAGTTTATCAGAGGAAGAAATACACGTTTTTGGTGAAACATTGATCTTTAGTTTAAAACAGACCATGTCATTTTCATAAGTTTCTTTTGTGATTCAACTTATGCTTCTATAGCGTGTCTTTGAACACCTTCAAAGTCTTCTGAAATAAGTTGAACTACAAGCATATTTACACACTACCCCTCACGTCACTTCTTACTATCACTATGTATTCAGAGCTCAAATAATATACGGGATGATTTTTAGCAGCAAGTTACTGGTCATTTATATGAGCTTCAACATTTAAATATGGGGTAGTCAAATGTGGCATTAAAAATAAACACCATAAAATAACATTCAACAAGAAAATTTAGCAATCAGATGTTCTGTCCTTATCGTGACGCTACGAGTTACCTGTCATATAGACAGATGCAGGCAGCTACGGCGAAAATTGAGATCTAGGCTTTGCTTTTATCATCTCTCATTAGCAAAGTGTATTCGCAGTCTTGAATGAAATTAAGTCGCTACTTTACAACACATTACAGTGAACAACAATAACAAGTAGCGTATTTATCATTGCCATAATATGAGGTACTGGTTTATTAACTGGCAGGGAGAAGTATTGATTCTACGCCAAAAAATTAATAATTTTATTGACAAAGTCGAAAATTTCTGTTATATCAGTAAAGCGGTTCCCTACATATTTGAAATATTAAAAAGTGGATTTTGCGTTCATATTGAGCACCAACTCTCAAAATATCAATTTTTCCGATGAGCTCAACTTCAGGTGTACGAATCTGACAAACATTTACATTAACAACGAAATACTTTATTGTGTAGCTGTCAGATTCGGTGGTCTAATAGACCTCAATCAAGAAAGCCTGTCTTCAATTCCACAACATCACTCAGATTGGAAGTTTTATCTAAATTGCCATTAGCCACATTTTTTATTTGATCTTATCGTAGCTTCTGTTTAACAGTGAGCTGTGACAAACTACAAAAGTTGCTCGGTGAATGAACAATATAACTTGAGTGTTAATAGAAGTATTTTAGCTATGAAAAAGATGACGTAACATAAGGTTTTGAAAAATAATGAGGTAAAGAAGTAGGGGAACCAAGTGCATTATGATATGAGGATTTTATTCTAAATAATATAATTAAAAGTAGTAACGTGAACCTCACCTTTATAAAGTGATCAATTTCGAAATTCTAAAGTCGCTAGCATAGAAATTTTTTTGTATCGTAGAAATAGTTGAGTAGAAAAATATCGAAATTTCCTCACTTTCTCAAATTAATACTGTTATGTCCATGCCTTATGCTGATACAAATCATAATATCTTATGTCATTATTCGCCTCGCCTCGTTTATTTTTCATCTTATGACTTTCTTCGAATCCAAGTAATTCTATATCCATTTCCTTTTTGTCAACCTTCAGCTTGATATGAAGAGTCTTAACTTTGACTGTTATGCATTTACATTACATCCAGGGTTGTTCGCGTATTTATTACTTGTCGACATTTTTTATTTAAGATAAATGTAGAGTTCACGTGTAATGGGATAACTTAATCGAAAAGACTTAAGTTATTAGGGATTTTGAATTTGCAAGCATGATTGTCGTCTGAGTTTTCTACTAACTTCAGTCATCATCTTCTAACCAAGTAGTGTTCTGTAAATCTGTTAAATTTTATGCAGTAATAACACTTTAAATTGAAGAGGATATGTAACTGAATGCTATGTAGTGCATCTTACAGTATTATTCTTGCAGAAAGTCTCTACACCGCTTAGCAACACTTACCGTAAGGATGCTTTGTGGGACACCGCATCTGACGCATAAATTGAATCATGCAACCGAAATAATGCAGTGTAGATACTTTTAATCTGTTAACTGGATGGCTTTTCAAAAACACAAAAATGATAAAAAGAAGTAATTTAAACAGTATTATTAATTGTTGTCATTGTAAGAGAACTAGATGTGCTGGTTGTTTGAAGTCAATCGGTAGGATTCACTAGATCTAAGTTTTGTGCAGCATAAAAGAGTCCGATTTTCCCTGAGAGATTTGAATCCCCACTACTCAATGCTGCAGTACGCAACCTTATCACTGAGCTCTTCAGGTAGCTATTTGGTGTAGGTGACTGATTGGAGGTAGGATGAAAACCTGGACCGCGGTGGGATTCGAACTAGCAACCAATGGGTTGATTAGCAACAGATTACTTCTGTTACTCACATCATTTCGAAAGAAAAGGAAAAATCCAGATGAAGTCAAGCAAAACAATATACGTCAGTGTTAGTGATCACATCCTCAAGATAAAAGTTTATATACTTTAAAATAATCCGTGGAAAACTAACAGTGCTGGAAAGTAAGAGCAGTTGGTTACTGTTTATATTAATTCTCATATTTAATTATTTAAATGAGACCAATGGAAGGATAGTTTACCCATTCTCAGTTTATTCCAACTCCTAAACATCTGAGCAAACTCAGCTCAACGAATGAGACCTGACTGTGATCGAGGATTAGATCACCTACATCATTGAGTTAGGCATCTGAGCTGAGAATGATAAGGAGGAAATGGTGTTGGGAAAAAATGAGAGATTGTGGGTAGTCGTGGAGCCAGGTTCAAAAGACTGCAGAGAATAGAGTGCAATGGAGACATGATACCGAAGCTTTATATTCCACTAGGAACCCAAGGGACAAATAATCATAAGAAATAACTTTGTTAAATTTATCTGAATGCAGACACTAGTGTTTTTATCGATAAAGTTTGAGTGGCGCTTTTGAAAAACAGTATGAAAAGTTAGTACACAGTTTAGTAGAAGCAATGGAAACTATGTCTGAATTACCTTTAATACATGGTCGATCTAATATACACCTCGGTGTTAAGAGTTCTAGAAGTGGATAATTTACATCTCAGTTAACATCTTTGGATACATTCATGTGGTCAAAATATATAGAATACACAAATGTTAATCAAATATCTAGTGACTACACAAACTGCTTCTTAAATAACCTTGAAAGCAAGAAAATCGCTTCCATTGATTACAGTGAGTATTTCAAGACTGTTGACACCATTCATCAAAATGAGGTGGAATGAGCCGTGAGTAGTTAGCTAGATGGGTCTTCTGAAATTAAGTTCATGTACTACAAAAGTAAACTGATAATTCAATTATTCAACCATATCTAACTAACATTTAGAACACTGGTGTAATTGATGGTAATGATGGCCTTATAACCAATAAATATGAACACGTTAAATAGTTTTCAGCTGACCATATCATTCTCATTATTAAGGTGTACTACATTTGATATAGAAGTAAGTATAGAGAATGCCAATTCCATACCTCTTCTTAGCTGGAATACGACACCTATCAGAAAATAAGTAAAAAATATTGGTATTCATATAGTTTTTGCTTGGACTGCTATTATTCTTGTTGGTATATTATAGTCATTAATCAGCTAAAGTAGTAGTCTTGCATACGCTGTTTTTGTCTTCGAAACAGACCATTTTCCGTTATTATCACTCATTTGTTTAGTTCCCACTTATATACTTTGTGTGCTTTAATGTCATTTTCATTCTATCCCCTCCTTCTTTGCATGCTATCGTGAATTATGACAAACTGAACGTATGTCATTTGGTACTAGTTTCCATGTTGGTTTGTAAGTGTTCTCCTAAAGTACAACTTCAGTTTATGAAGTTCTACATTCTACACATTATATAAGAGAATTAAGCTAGTTATCAATAATACAGCTTAATGGTCAATCACGAACCCTCTTTTTGATAAGCATTACAAGAACAGTTAGAAAGAGATAGAAGAAAACATCCGATAGTTTAAGTTTAGTTTTCTAAACGTCAATGAGCAGTTAAGCGCTGTATTTTTTCGATTGTTACCTATCTTATGTCTGTTTGGTAGGAATAATTAGTTAGTTAATCAGTCATTGTTAATGAACATCAAAGCTGGTATCCATTTGCAATGGTTACAGCTACCAAACTTCATGTAAGCACCGAAGGGAAACACAAAGGAGCTGAAAGTATATGACCGATAGTCATAGTAACTGTGAGACGGGAAAAAAAGGAGAGAGTAATGCGAATCAGAAAATGTGGAGCAACAGTTTAAACAACAAGGAAAAATGTATGGATTCCTGCCACCATGATCTATTCTGAGACTTAATAAATAATAGTGCTTCCAAAAGTCATGGTTTCAAAGGAAAGAAGCATGCGTTAACATAAATAACTTTCAAATACATATGAAAGTATAACAGATGTGGAAGCTTAATAAGTAGGATTTGTTCCGAGGCTTTGAAACAAACTGAACGTTTATACTATAAGGAGCAGAAACAATCAACTAGAAAGACTGAGTATATATCTGGGACGATGCAATCAACTATACTAACCAGTACTTCATAGGAAATGAAATGCACAGTTCGTTTGAAATTCACTGATAACATTTGATCTATCATACCTACCTATCTAGATATGCTTAATGACTTGATTGCTGATTACTGAATGACGGGTTGCCATACCTATGGTCTACAAATGGAGATTAAAATATGGTGATACATAGTAAGTAGTTGCCATCAGTTAAAAGAATATCAAAAAAGTATTCCAAGCACTAGTCAAGGAAATGAGATATAGTTAATAAGGTATGAGAAAGAATCTTTTATTTCTTTTGTGCCCATTCTGTGCTCCAGTTCTGATAATACTAGTAAAAAAGGAATTTGCACAGTCCTCAAAGAACTCATTATCTCTTACAAGTCAAAATCCATTGGTTGGTTATCATTCAAGGATCATTAGGTATATATGATCTAATCTTGCACCGGTAAGGTCACAACAGAATTCACTCCTATATCTTTAGAACGAAAGAGACAGGTGACAAAATTTAGGAATCAATGCAATTTGTTTGAGTTGTTTAGTACACGGTATTGAACCAATAAAAAAATTATAAAACTATGCTTTTAAATAGCAAGTAAATATATATATTTAACTCATTTTCTTTTTTGAACTCCCTTTTTATCGAATAGCTAATGAACTGGAAACTGAGTTCTTCTGGCATGAATGCAGCCACTGAAAGCTTTCTGATTGTGCATCGTTTCGGTTCAGTAAGTTTATGTATATGCCCTCAAAGAAATTACTTTTCATGCAATACTGATTTTCATTCAGTTATTATTTCAGTAGAACACCTACTGCTTACTAGTTGTTTGAGGTGATTGAGAATACCTTTTGTTAGAGTGATTATTATGTGAAGATATGGAAGAATGTATAAACTCAGCCTTTCATAAATCTATGTAAGAACAATACTTTTATATTAATAACCTCTGGTGATTTATGCAGGGGGTGTAATGAGCAAAGGTGTATGACAGCGATTTGTGTTAAATCAAATAAATTTTCATTCATAATGATAAGAGTTTAAAGATGCTAGTCTGATTAGCTTCAGTCATTTTAACTGAAACATTTAGTACTGCTATGAGTCTTCGTACAAAAATGGTAGGTTATATAAATGGTAAACCAAATCGTTTACAGAAGCTGTAGACAAAATTGGACGAAATTTATCACTTATATGAAATGACTTGAACCGATGCACAGGTGCTCTGGGAACAAACCAACCAAGAACCTATCACGCAGCAAATATGCAGGAAGAAGTGGAGATGGATTGACCATGCACTGAGAAGGCCGACTGAAGACATCACGCGTCAGGCCAGTAGCTCGAGTGGAATCCCCAGGGGAAGCGACGAGTTGGACGTCCGAGGGTGACATGAAGGGGGTCGTGCGAGGAGGAAATGAGAGCTTCTGAGCTGTAGTGGAACCAGGTTCAAAAGGTCTCAGAGAACAGAGGTCAGTGGAGACGTGCTACTGAAGCCCTATATTCCACTAGGAACCCAAGGGACTAGTAATAATAAATGAAGTGACTAGTTTGTAAGGTAAGGAAACATAATCAGATGACCCTGAACAGATCATTTTATGATGTTTCCTACTAGCAGAAAGACAACAGGAACTGTCAAATATTGAAATAAGTATAGGATCATCAGTAAACAGAGAATAAGTATTTCCAGCATTTTAGAACTATATATTTGAGTTCACATCAGTCCGTCACTAGTTTTACCACAAACGAGTGATACTTCCAGACCACCAATTTTCCATTACCCTGAACATTTTAACCCCTTACCTGTTATTCAGCGGTGAATCAAGGGATATAATAGGACTGGATGGACCATAAATTAAAACACTTACCCTGTAGTAAGACGACAAATATACCTAGTCAACATATCTAACCATTTCATTCAGACCCGAATGCTCTCCTGGAAGTTATGTAATGCCTAGTGGTTACATATAATTACCCACATCATCAGCTTATAAATATTGGTATACCTTTATTTTTCTCTAACAATTTATTGATATTAGTCAACCTTTTGCATTGTTATTTGTTCTAAGAGAGATTCACTTCGTGAAAACTCAGTAGCCGGTAGTCAAAGTAGGCATGAAATGTATTCCATACCAAACTGGGGGACTAATCAGTTGATTTAAGTTTCATAAGCGTCGACATTTACGACAGCATACCATCAAACATAAATAAACCACTACTCTGTCAGATATTTGAACTCATACCTTGTCAACCCTGAAACGGCATGAGTTCATATTGATGTAACCAGGAAATGAATTTCGGTTTGAAATATCCTTCGGTGATGAGTGTCCAGGACTAGGTAATGCCACTTCCCATCTCAGAAATATCTTTTTCGTCAGCTCTAAATATTATTATTATTTGTTCCTTGGGTTCCTAGTGGAAAATAAGGTTTCAGTAACACGTCTCCATTGCACTCTATTCTCTGCAGTCTTTTGAACCTGGCTCCACGACTACCCACAACCTCTCATTTTTTCCCAACACCATCTCCTCCTTATCACTCTCAGCTCAGATGCCCAACTCTTCGTTTCATATTTCGGGTTCCACTCGAGGGCCTGGTCTGGCGCGTGATGTCTCCGAATGGCTTTCTCAGTGTATGCCCAATCCAATCTATCTCCGCTTTCTTCTGCATGTTTGTTGGGTGATAGGTTCTTGGTTGGTTCGTTACCAGAGTGAGTTCCTTGTTGTCTATTCATTCTGACCATCTGATCTTAGTATCGAGTGGGTGTAGGCGGCAGCCGTTGATGACGTCTGTCTGCAGTTTGTTGGAAATGCTTTTCATAACGTGCCATCAAGTCTCCCAACCATCATATGGAAGCACTAACTTAACTGAACTGGTGTTGAAAATCCGGATCTCGTTCAAGCTTCATGCTGAGTGGAGTGCAGTAGAGTGCAGTAGATCTCCACACTGATCTCGGACTAATGAAAGTTTGTCTTGCTGTCTTTCCGATCCTCACTGTCTTCGACATCCTCATGTGTGCCTGTACCGCCTGTAGTTGAAAGGATGCAGCCTTACCTAGGAAGGTAGGTGAAAGAGACAACTTCCTTTAGGTTTCTCGCGTTAATGGTGATTGGTGCTCGTTGTTGTTGTTGTTTTATTGGCTGCGCATCTTCATCACCTCTGTCTTCTCTACGTTCACTTGAAATCCTGTTTTCACTGCCCAGCCTCTTCTGTCAACTCGTTGGTTTTTACCTGTGGATCTTCGAGTTTGTGCGACACAAGACATCAGACATAAATCATCATCGGTGGTGAAAACCAAATAGGGTCTTTTCATAGATGCAGCCAGCGCATTCCCACTCTTCTCGTTCCTCATAGTCTGTTGCATGATCCAGTCCAGTTGAGTCACCCACAATCAGGAAGATCATGGTTGATAGTAGGCGGAAGTCTTGTCTTACTCCTTCCTGTCTTCACTTCAAAGGTGTTACTAAGCTTTCCATTGTCAATCACTTGGCATGTAGCATCATAAAGCACATAGCTGTTGAATGAGGTTGATGAGTGTTTGTGGTGCTGAAACCATATTGTTGAAGCAGCTGCCTGACAAACTACTTCTCGGTCGACGCTGTCGAAGGCCTTTTTAAAGTCGACAAATTCGAGGTAAAGATCCAGTTGACTGTCATTCTGTGCTCTGTTCTATGATGATACGTGGTGTAGTGTTGCAAATTGATCCTCACATGATTTGCCTTCCCTGAATGTAGCCAGCCAGCCTGTTCTAGTTGTAATTTGTAATCCAGAGCATATTTCAGTCTCTTCAGGATTATGCAGCTCAATATTTTGCTTGGGGTGGACAGGAGTGTGATTCCTCGCCAGTTCTTGCAGAGACTTAGGTCAGATTGCCTCGAGAGTTTGACAAGGTAGCCTTCCTACCAATCGATTGGCAAGTATCTTCTCTTCATTCCAAGCCTTCTGCAGTGGTGGTGTGAGCATGTCCACTGTTATCTCTGTGTGTGTTTTCAGTGCTTCTGGCGGAATTCAGTCTGGCCCTGCTGCTTTCTCGGATTTCAGTAACTCCATGGTGTTTAGGATTTCTGCTTTTGTCGGAGGTTTTGTGTTGACTGATGTTTCTGTGGCTGGGCTGCTGGTGGTATTTCTGGACGAGTTGCAGGTGGTGGTTGTAGTCAATTCCGGAGATTTTTGAGGTGGTCAGCCCATCGTTTTCTTTCATTCCCCTCTTTGGTAACTAGGTTTCCTTCACTATCTTTCATCGGTTTCATCTGCGTTGATCTCTTCCCTCCCAGATATAGTGTTATCAGATCTCTGTTTCTTCTACCTGTAGCCTGTTCTGCTTCACTTGCTAGTGTTTCGTGGGAGTGTCTTTTGTCTTTCCAAGCACTCTTTTTCACTTCTTTGTCAAGTGTAGTGTTTTATAAGTTGTACTCAGTTCCTCTCTTGTTTGTTCATCCTTGCACTGTTTTATCTTCAGCCGCCGTGTATCTGTGGGGATCCATTCCTGAACCGAACTTTTCTTCTTTCTTACTATATTATTGTAGGTTTCTTTCCACATAGAGTTCCAGTTTTCTTACACGCAAGTTTTTTCACGGGTGTTGTTCGATGTCTCCCATTTCGTCTTAGTGGCTGACGTGAAGATTTCCTCTGTAGTTTTGTCCTTCAGTTCAGTTTCTGTTCTGTGTGTTCAACTTGAACTATGGTCTATCATCACAAACTCCCTTGAAGCCTTTCAACTTGATTTCGGGGGTAGGTTCCTTGCACTAGATAACTAGTGGTATGAACCTACATCTGCTCCCCTTCTTCATCGGATCTTGTGCCCAGTAGGCTGCGTCTCCATCTCCACTTTCTCCACTTTCTTGAGATGAATTCGATCGGATTTTTAGCGTGGTGTGTTCATCGGAAGAAATCAAATCCATATCGCTTTGTGGATATCCTTGTGTTTGAACACAGTGCCTCCAATCAGAGGTCGTTGAATGCTCAGAATTCTCCAAACAAGTCTCCATTCTCATTCATTTCACCTAGCGCTTCTCGACACATGATCAGTTCTCTTCCTTTGTTGTCCGCTCCGTGTTTGGCATTCATGTCTCCCGTTAGAATGAATTTCAATGTCACCAACTTGAATGACGTGTTGTCCAGTGTTGATTGCAGTTGTCTGTAGAATCTCTCCCTCTTCTCTCCATCGGCATTATCTGTAGGTGTGTAGCATTGCATTGTATTTTTGTGACTTTCCTTCCTTTTCACTTGAATCTTGCTGTTATGATCCAGATGCTGGAGGAGATTAGTTCCCATTGCATGAGAGCTTTCAATGCTCTTGTGAGGGGAACAACATGATAGCCACTACAAAACTCAGTGCACTCATGGTTTTCATCTGGATGACAAAATCGGAGTAGATTATTGGCTCTTCAGTTGACAGTTTGGATAGTCCACTTCCATTCCACTTGCTTTCGCAGATTCCTACCACTTCTCATCTCGTTTGCAATCTGTGCAGCCTTGCTAGGTTCAAACATAGTGCAGATATTCCATGTTCTCAATCTTACTTCCGCTTTCATCGAGAGAAGAGTAGAGAGATCGGCCAATTGGCTTCCCGAAGGCTTTCACCAACCGGCATCACATCGTCTCCGCGATTGGAGAGAGGATTAAGTTTGTTTTTATTTTTTATATTTTCTTTGTGTTTTGAAGTTTCTTTAGCGATTGGATTGGTTTTACGAGGTAGGGTTGCTATTCGTATGCCCAACCTTCCTTCTTTATGCGATCTT